GTCTATATTTATATGTACCTCTCATATTTGTGACTCTGAATATACTATACCATATTGCAGGGGAACACCTAGAGCGTTTGGCACCCAGGGCAGGTCCTATTTGTGGCCCATCTCCCCACCCCCCAACTTTAAAATGTAAATAACAACCGCTTTTTTTTTTTTTGTATTTAGCACTAAGCAGTGTTTCTGTGAGTGTAAGCACGTTTTTGTATGGAGTATGTTTAAGTGAATGTAGGTGGTGTGTTTGTATGTGGTGTTGGCGTTTAAATGCCGGCATGCATTTTTATTTAGTGTGGTTTTTGAATGCAGTGGTGTGGTTATATATAATGGTGGGTTTGTATGTAGTGTGTCGTTGAAATGCAGGGGTGTATTTGTGTGTAGTGTTAGCGAGATTCTGAGATGTATGCACATATTCACATACACACACATATATACACACTGACACACATGCAGATAGGTAGACACACAATCACACACAGAAACACATACACATGTAGAGACAGTGGTGACTCTAGGAACAATATATAGGGGGGCACTACAAAACTGGAGGGGCACTAAAACCTTTCACTAGGGCAGGGGTTCTCAACGTTAGTCCTCAGGACCCCCTACCAGTCCAGGGTTTAGGGATTACCTGGGTGTGTCTAAGGTGTTTAGAAAAAAAAAACACCTTAGAGTCTAAGGTGTTTTTTTTCCCTTTTTCTAAACACCTGAGACACACCCAGGTAATCCCCAAATCCTGGACTGGTAGGGGGTCCTGAGGACTGGGTTGAGAACCCCTGCACTAGGGGATAAGGTAATGTGCTGCCATTGGCTGCCTGATGCCAACATGTAGTGCACATTGGCATCAGTCAACAAATTTGCATAGAATTCACATTAGCCACCCAGATTTCTTGTTGTGGGCTGGTTGACACCTCTCAATTTCGATCTTTGTTAATTAGATATCTGCCCTATTTGCTATCCTTATGTGGAATTGCCATATTTAAGGACACCAAATAAGGGAGCTATCTGTTAAATAGCACCTCAATTTGGTATATTTAAATATGGAAATCTCACATAAGGGCACCAATTTAGGGAATTATCTACTAAACAGCTAAAAGATCGAAATTAAAAAGCCCTTTTCTTAATTTCAGTTATCTACTTAATTTCACAGTAGATAACTCCGTTATTTATTATCCTTATGTGGGATTCCAATATTTAAGGACACGAAATAAGGAAGCTATCTACCAAGCACATACACATTTATATACACACACAATAGGTTTATGTCTGTGTGTATATATGTGGTTGTGTGTGTAAATATATATACACACAATTAACCACAGAGATACACAATCACACACATAAACCAGAGACATACAAAAACACAATCACAGACTCACGTACATACAATCACAGACACACACTCACATACACACATATTAAGATATACACACACAAACATTACATACATACACGTAATTAAGAGGCCCATCCAGCCTCCCTACCTTGCTCTGGGAGGGCTGGAGTAGATCCTCAGTCCCTGGTGGTCTGTGGTTGCTGCTGGGATCTCTGTGCTCTTCCTGCACAGTTCCCATGCACACCCTGTAATGAAGCCGATGCCAGGATGACGTTACATGTCGGCTTACTGCAGGGCGAAGACAGTCAGACACAGTCAGATGCACACAGTTATACACATATACTGTCAAATACAGCCACTTGCACACAGTCCCAGACACATAGCCACTCGCACACAGTCAAACACACAGTTACAGACAGTCAGTCACACTCACAGTTACAGACAGTTACATGCATACAGATACAGACAGACAGTCACACACACACAATTACAGGCAGTCTGTAACACAGTAACAGGCAACATCACACAGTCACACACACACACACATCCACAGGCAGACAGTCACAGTCAGTCACACACACAGTTACTGGGAGACAGTCACATACAGTCCCAGGTAGACAGTCACAGGCAGACATTTACACACACACACACACACATTCACAGGCAGACAGTCACACACACAGTCACAGACAGTCACAAACAGACAGTCACATACGCAGTCACTGGTAGACAGTCACAGGTATACAGCCACACACGCAGTCACAAGCAGACAGTCACAGACGCAGTCACAGATAGACAGTCACACACAGGCACAGGCAGACAGTCACACACACAGGCACATACAGTCACAGGCAGACAGTCACAGATGCAGTCACAGGCAGACAGTCACATACAGTCACAGGCAGACAGTCGCAAGCAGACAGTCACAGGCAGACAGTCACAGGCAAAAGCAGATAGCTGATTCCCGTTCGTTTCACGAACTGCACCTTTGCGGGCCGTTCGGGAACCGAACAAAACATCAGTTAATAGCCCACACACTTAGAGGCGTGTGGCGCCTATTAACCGATTGCAACAATGTTGCAATCAGTAATTAGAGGCTCTCCAAGGTGGATCCTTTGTACCCTCAGCGCTGTTTGGCCGTCGAGCGCATGGTACTAAAAACGGCTACTCGATGGCACGAACACCGCTGAGCTTCCAGGCCGTTCGGGAGGTCCGGGACGTTCGGTATTCTGTTCCCTTATATGCAATCGGTATTTTGAAGCTATGTTTTAATGAATGTGTTTTTCGTGCGGCGTTCGGTTGTTTTAGCTGGGATCTGAGCTGTAATCTCACGAATGATGCGCTCAGACCCCAGCTATCTACCGAACATCCATTCGTTTAAATGGACCAGATATTCATGAAGTTATGGAATTTAATGAGAATTGTAAGTTCTGCTGCACGGAGGGATAATCCACTTAACGGTACATTCCTGTGGGAGGATCCCTCTCGTGCAGCAGTGCCTGATGGGAGAAATGTCCTGTACAATAAGTCCCCCATGTAGTCCCGTCTGGGAATGCCTCTGGGAGGGGACTCAGGAAACCCCTTGCATGGGGACTTGTATAAATTGTGGATCTGAATTAAAAGACCTCAGTTGACTCCCAGCCTATGTGTCGTCTAGTTCTTGGGAAGGAAGGGTTACTGCAGTGCTGTTTGGATTATTGTATGCTGATTCCCTGGATTATCCTTTTGTTGTTCCTGTTACCCAGCGGAGATATCGTGGATTATACTGCCTCTCCGCTACAGTATTTGTAGCTGTATGTATGTGTATATGCATGTGTGTCAGTCTGTGTCCCTTTGTATCTGTGTGTATCGTTATGTGTGTCAGTGTTTGTATATGTATGAGTGTCATTCTGTGTATCTGAATGTTTGTCATTAAGTGTATCTGTGTGTCTATATGTGTATAAATATATGAGTGTATCTGCATGTTTTTCAGTGTATCCACCTGTTTGTCTGTGATTTTGTCCCCCCCCCACACTGACTTCCACACACACTGTCAACCCCCCACACTCTGTCAGCCCCCCCACACACACACTGTCATCCTCCCTTACACTCTCTCATCGCCATTCACACTGCCACACTCACATTAATTCATCCAATCCTGGTAAACTTACCTCCTCTCGCCCTGTCACACTCCCTCCTCGCGCCTAAACCTAAAGAGCTAGTACATAATTGCTATTTTGAAAGACTTCATCCACACCATAATTAACTTGATTGAAAATTTTTTCCTTATAAAATGAAGAAGAGGTTCCATGGATAGGGCAAAAAATAAGGGACAGCTGGCCATCTCTGGGGTGCCCCCACATTTCTTTTAACCTTTCAAATGGCATGAGACAAGGCTGCCCAGCGTCCCCTGTGACGAGACCAATCTCGCCACATTGCATTGGAGAAGCCTGGTTGCTCGCCTGCTGCCTTTGGACTATGGCCCCCTTTTAAAAGACTTTATTTTTCCCTGCAGAAAAGCCATATTCATGCTTTTCTGCCGGTTGTTCGGTAGTTTCAATCTACCGAACAACCGTACGAATGACTGGACCACCTGGGAGCTGGAGTGTGCCGGCAATTAACCTCCCTGAAGCTGCGGTTAACCGCAGCTTAATTGATGAACGCTGGGTGGCCGCCGTTCGTATCCCGAACACGAGGTCGCGGCCATTTTAAACCATACGAATGAACAGCGGTGTTCGCCTCTATTTTCATGGAACTAAAATCGGACACAGTTTTGCGCGAACACCGCTGAAGCCGCCGACCTCCCTTCTTGTTCGGTGAAAGCACACGAATGACCCGGTGTTCGGTATTTTTGTGTGAATATCTTATACCCCAGATAGGAATCCCATGGAGCCCATTCGTATGAAACTGACTGTAAAGACTTTGGCTCCATGGCGATTGAACTGTATTCGTGTAGTCTGAGTGCCATTCACCTAATAATGTGCACTCAGACCTGAGCTATCTGGGGATGTGTTACATGCCTGTGTTTAATGTAGTAAATGTTACTTTGTGCATTTTAAAGTATAATGCTGTTTTGTGTTCCCACGTGTGTAATGGAGTTTTGCCTTTGTCTTGGGAGATAATTGAATTACTTCCCAGTTGTCTCCCAGGGCAGAGGGGAGGAAGCCAGGATGCATTGTGGGAATATACTGTGACTGTGTGTCCTTTTTGTATACTTGTCTGTCCCTTGTCACAGTCTCCCATTTGGTCCCCTAGGGGAGTGTCCACCAGGTGGGAGGCCTGCATAAAAGCTGGGCAGGTAGCCCTCATTAAACAGACCACTGCTTGACCCTCAACACGGAGCCTGTCTCGTCTTTGGGGGGATTTACTGTATGCTGCTAAGGACTGATTGCCAGGAGTGTAAGCCGCTTGGGAGCTTTTCCTGTTCGTCTGGTAGCAGCAATTCGTATGGTTCCTGTTCGTGTATTTGGAGTGCTACCTTATTCCCTTGTATGCCGTTCGGGAGTTTGGACCATTCCCTTGTATGCAGTTCGAGTGTTTGGAGCATTCCCTTGTATGCCGTTCGGGAGTTTGGAGCATTCACTTATTGGCGGTTCGTGAGTTTTGGTGATTATACCGTAGCTGTGCCTGTCTCTGAAAAGGGGGATTATCGTCTAAGTGGTTTTTTCCCTTTTTATGCTAAACGGTCCGTTACAATTGGTGGCAAGCGGCGGGATCGTTCCTACAACCAGAAGGACAGCTACAGGAGACACCATTTCTTTGGATTTTACAATTTGAGGGCAACGCATGTCCCAGTACAGCGACCCTGACAGCACCAGCATGGAACCAGCAGTGGAGTATGACGAGGGTGCCATGGATGACCGAGATGCAGTCCGTAAAGGCATCTGGTACCAGGCACTGGGTATTGTGGAGTACCAGCGGGGCAAGAGACTCCCCAAGGAAGACCAGCGGTTGCAGAAGCGAGTAGCCCTGCGGATGCCCTTCCTGGGAGAGCAGCCCCTGGAGGAATGGGTGAGGAAATTGGAACACCTAGTATGGCAGGAGTTGTGGCTAGAAGATGCCTACCAGGCGCTCTGGTGGTATGGGGCACAGTACCTACCCTGGACAGCCGAGCATGACAAGCCAGAGGGAGAGGAGTTTGATGGTCCTGGCTTGTTATGGGAGTCGTTTTCAGAGCTCGAATTTGGGAGCCCTACACAAGCCCGGTTCAGTGATCTCTGGGAGTGGAGGGAGAGCAGGTATGACTGGGTCGACGCTCACAAAATTGAGCAAGACCTGGTCCACCTGGTAACCCGGGAGATGGAGCTAGAACAGGGCTACCAGCAGCTGTTTCAATACAGCGAGAAGGCTCAGCAGGAGAGCAGCATGACAGACCCAGAGCCAGACCCATTCAGCTGGGAAGACATTGTGGATATTTTCTGGGAAGAACCCCAGGTGGCCGGTAGAGATGGGACCGAGGTCTCTCCACCGGTCTTGCAGGGAATTGGGAGCCCGAGCTCCATTCCCCAGCGGGAGATATTGCAGGGAATTGGGAGCCTGAGCTCCATTCCCCAGCGGCAGGCTGAGTTACAGGGGGCAGAGGTAGTTGTTCCTGCCCCCCAGCAGCAGAATGAATTGCAGGGAATTGGGAGCCCGAACTCCATTCCCCAGCGGGAGAAATTGCAGGGAATTGGGAGCCAGAGCTCCATTCCCCAGCGGGAGATATTGCAGGGAATTGGGAGCCTGAGCTCCATTCCCCAGCGGCAGGCTGAGTTACAGGGGGCAGAGGTAGTTGTTCCTGCCCCCCAGCAGCCAAGTGATATGCCGGGAAGGCAGTGTGAAGTCCAGGGAGAGGAGAGCAGTGTCCTCCCTCCCCAGCGGCAGCGTGATTTTTTGGGAATTGGGAGCCCAGTCTCCATTCCCCAGCGGCAGTATGATGCTTTGGGAATTGGGAGCCCAGTCTCCATTCCCCAGCGGCAGCACAGATCATTGGGAATTGGGAGCCCCGTCTCCATTCCCCAGCGGCAGAGTGTCCTACCGGGAATAGAGAGCCCAGTCTCCTTTCCCCAGCAGCAGGACTCTGTATTGGGAGCAGAGACAGTCGGTCTCCCTCCCCCACAGCTGGAAGTATGTATGGGAGAGGAGCTTGTTACCCCCTCTCCCCAGCGGCAGCTTAATGTACAAAGGGGAGACAGTAAGCCCCACAACCGTGCAGATGGGACCGTAGTCTCTACACTGCCAGCACAGGGGGTAGGGACGGTCGGTCCTGCCCCCCAGCGACAGGGCTGTTTAGCCAAAGGGGAGACAATCGGTCTCCCCCTCCAGCAGCAGAGATGGGTAACCAAAGGGGTGACGGTCGGTCTCCAGCAGCAGGACTGTGCAGCTAAAGGGGAGACGGTCGGTCTCCAGCAGCAGGACTGTGCATCTAAAGGGGAGACAGTCAGTCTCCAGCAGCAGCAGCAGAGCGGTGTATTTAAAGGGGAGACAGTCAGTCTCCAGCAGCAGCAGCAGAGCGGTGTATTTAAAGGGGAGACAGTCGGTCTCCCCCTCCAACAACCAGGCTTCCACCAGGCTACCCTCCCAGTAGCGCTGGCAACAGGGCAGAGTGCCGCTGGTCTCTGCCCACGCAGCAACCCACCAAGTCAGCGTACCCGTACCCAGCACAGCCGTGGTGAGGCACCTGGACATGGACAAGCTTTCCTTTACCCAGGTGTAGTAACCATTTATTGTGGGTGGGCTGTGCTGTTGATTATTTGTTGTGGGTGGGCTGCTGGACTAACAAGGGCACTGACCGGCAGGAGGTCAGATACCCTGTTAGTCTGTTTGGAAAAGGGGAGAGATGTGACGAGACCAATCTCGCCACATTGCATTGGAGAAGCCTGGTTGCTCGCCTGCTGCCTTTGGACTATGGCCCCCTTTTAAAAGACTTTATTTTTGCCTGCAGAAAAGCTGTATTCGTGCTTTTCTGCCGGTTGTTCGATAGTTTCAATCTACCGAACAACCGTACGAATGACTGGACCACCTGGGAGCTGGAGTGTGCCGGCAATTAACCTCCCTGAAGCTGCGGTTAACCGCAGCTTAATTGATGAACGCTGGGTGGCCGCCGTTCGTATCCCGAACACGAGGTCGCGGCCATTTTAAACTATACGAATGAACAGCGGTGTTCGCCTCTATTTTCATGGAACTAAAATCGGACACAGTTTTGCGCGAACACCGCTGAAGCCGCCGACCTCCCTTCTTGTTCGGTGAAAGCGCGCGAATGACCCGGTGTTCGGTATTTTTTGTGTGAATGTCTTATACCCCAGATAGGAATCCCATGGAGCCCATTCGTATGAAACTGACTGTAAGGACTTTGGCTCCATGGCGATTAAACTGCATTCGTGTGGTCTGAGTGCCATTCACCTAATAATGTGCACTCAGACCTGAGCTATCTGGGGATATGTTACATGTCTGTGGTTTATGTAGTAAATGTTATTTTATGTATTTTAAAGTATTATGCTGGTTTTGTGTTCCCACGTGTGTAATGGAGTTTTGCCTTTGTCTTGGGAGATAATTGAGTTACTTCCCAATTATCTCCCAGGGCAGAGGGGAGGAAGCCAGGATACATTGTGGGAATATACTGTGACTGTGTGTCCTATTTGTATACTTGTCTGTCCCTTGTCACAGTCTCCCATTTGGTCCCCTAGGGGAGTGTCCACCAGGTGGGAGACCTGCATAAAGGCCGGGCAGGTAGCCCTCATTAAACAGACCACTGCTTGACCCTCAACACGGAGCCTTGTCTCGTCTTTGGGGGGATTTACTGTATGCTGCTAAGGACTGATTGCCAGGAGTGTAAGCCGCTTGGGAGCTTTTCCTGTTAGTCTGCTAGCAGCTATTCGTATGGTTCCTGTTCGTTTATTTGAAGTGCTACCTTATTCCCTTGTATGCCGTTCGGGAGTTTGGAGCATTCACTTGTATGCCGTTCGGGAGTTTGGAGCATTCACTTGTATGCAGTTCGAGTGTTTGGACCATTCCCTTGTATGCAGTTCGAGTGTTTGGAGCATTCCCTTGTATGCCGTTCGGGAGTTTGGAGCATTCCCTTGTATTCAGTTCGTGAGTTTTGGTGATTCTACAGTAGCTGTGCCTGTCTCTGAAAGGGGATTATCGTGTAAGCGGTTTTTACCCCTTTTGTGCAAAACGGTCCGTTACATCAAGCATAACTAATTAATTATATAAATGATTAAGGCTGGTATTTGTTTCCAAGAAAGGTGGCAACCTTAACTACTCTTCACATAGTCTTGCTTAAATGAGCACTATAGGGTCAGTAACACAATCATGTATTTCTGGCCCTATTATGTTAAAACCACCACCCTGGCCCCTTCTTGCCTCCCTAAATATAGCAAAATATTACTTGTATTCAAGTCTGCAGCTGCTGGCTCAGAAGTGGTGGTCTGAGCAAATAACAATACTTCCCCATAGGATTGGCTGAGACTGTCAACTAGGCAGATCAGGGCAGAGCCAGCACAAGTCCAACATAGCCCTGGCCAATCAGCATCTCCTCATAAAGATAAATTGAATCAATGCATCTCTATGAGGAAAGTTCAGAGTCTGCATGCAGAGGGTGGAGACACTGAATGGCAGTGCTGCAGACTAGGCAGTACTGCCCCATGAAGCACCTCTAGCAGCCATCTAAGGAGCAGCCAGAGGAGTTATTTTCTCTGAAAAGACAGTGTTTACTGCAAAAAGCCTGAATGGAATGCTTCTACTTACCAGAACAAATACAATAAGCTGTAGTTGTTCTGGTGACTATAGTGTCCCTTTAAGTTTGGAAGCTTAAGAGGGATGTATGGGAACAAAACTTGTGTGGCTGGCTGACATTAAAATTAGTTTAGGTAATGCAGACGTTGGTCTCTGTGGCATGTCCCCTTTCTTCTACACTCACTACATACACCTTTTCTCTCTCTCAGACTATATACCAGGAACTTCTGCCTGCTAGTAAGAAGGTAAGAAGACAAGTGGACCAGCGAGTGCTAGGGGAAAGTCCTTGGAAAGCATGGAGTGAGCGCATTATTAGATGCATTTATGTCAAGCTCAATGTGCTGCCTGCATAGTATGCCCTTAGTTGGACAGCCTGCAGGATTGGCAGGCAGCCTGACATGCATTCATGCCAGGCTGACCTTCCAATTCTTTGGACAAACATGCCCCCTTTTGGCAGGTCTTGTCACGTGATTCGCGCCAGTGGCACACCCTTTTACCCCGCCCATTGACTTCCTGCTTCACTGGACACTGCTGTTAGGGGTTATGGATATACTTGAAAGATGAAAGCATAAATTAGAGAGAAATTAGCATAGAGTATGTGTTTTCTTATAGCTGCATTCTATGAGTTTCCCTCCAGCACCATCTCCATCAGATACATGACGCTTGGGAGGTATGACTGTTTTAGTGTTTTTGGTCGATAAGATTCCGTAATTAGGCCCATCATTATTGTCAGCACCAGGCCCACTGTGCTCTTAATCCGGCCCTGCTCCCAAGTAACAGAGAGTCTTGTGGGAAGGAGGAGGTACACACAGGCAGAGAAGGAGGAGAGGGCTGTGTATCTGGCTGTATGTGTACCAGTGTGTCAGTGTTTATGTGTGCCTGTGTATGTGTATCTGTGTGAAGGTATACCTGTGTCTATCTATGTGTACTTTTGTGTCAGTGTGTATGTGTACCTGCATGTCTGTGTATCTGTACGTGTGTGTGTGTGTATTTGTGTCAGTGTGTATCTATGCATGTGACAATACATACATCACAGCATTATAATGCCAACACTATACACAGCATTCCAACACACAAATACTCCACTGCACGAGTACCAGGCCCTGGGGAGGCAGCACAGCTAACCGGACTTTGTCGAGATTTTTCCCTGCTTCCCATGGAGGAGGCTCCTCCTTCAATGGAAAAGGATGGGTAGGAATCCCCCCAAAAAACAAAAAAAACGAGGAGAA